TATTGTATCTCCAGTTAAAAACAAACACAAATCAGTGCTTCAAATTACATTTACAAATCACTGCAGACAATTTTCAAGAAACTGTTTTTTCTGCTTCATATCACACTGAATTTCAGAACTATTGAAAACCAAAGTCCAGTGAAGTTGAGGGATTTTGGGACCAATATTCTTATAAAATCAAAAATTTAAATAAAGCAGTTGGAAGAGATACCATTCCAAATTTAGGAATTTATCAACCCAAAACATTCTTTAAATTCGAGTGTAAGCAACACTTAACTCGTAACCATAAAAGCTAAGGTATTCAGCTTTCAGGAACCCAGTTCAACACAAAAAATGGGCTAAAAATATTACACAATGTATGTTGATTGATCCATCGTGTTCAGTACAGACAACTATTTGGGAAATTTTCATTTACAAAATTAAACATCCAGATTGCAGGCAAAAATGTTTGAAATGTTCAATAAGATGTCAATTTGCAAGTGATAACAAATTTTTAAAAGTACGTTTTCTGTAATAAACCGACTTATAACTAAAATAAAAGCCTTTATTGCTATCTTGTGACATTGGACCTATGATAGGCCTACTGTACTACAGGAATGCGAGATATGTAACATGGGAACTAGAGTTCCTATAGGAACTCTAATGGGAACCAGAGCCGTAGATAGAGAGAGTTTGGCCAACTCGGTTTCACGGGATTCGATATACGCGCGTGTGATTTGGTGGATCGCAATCACATGACTTACACCGGCCATGTTGTCACCAAAACATTAAAGCTATACGCGCACATGCGCCTGGGTTCTTTGGTGACGACATGGCGTCCATGCGCTAAGTTGGCCACACTCTATCTATAATGGTTCTGATGGGAAGGAACCAGAGCCGTAGATAGAGAGAGTTTGGCCAACTCGGTTTCACGGGATTCGATATACGCGCGTGTGATTGGGTGGGTCGCAATCACATGACTTACACCGGCCACGTTGTCACCAAAACAAAACATTACAGCTATACGCGCGCATGCGCCTGGGCTGTACGTTTGGTAACGACATGGCGTCCATGCGCCAAGTTGGCCAAACTCTATCTATGGCTCTGATGGGAACGTGCATGAAGCGCCACCACCAAACAGGGACGTAGCCAGGATTTTGTAAGGGGGAGCCGTTATGCTAATTACGTATGACCCCGGCGGGGTTAAGGGGGCGAATCCCCCTGTGAAGTAGCGCAATCTGAACGTTCTTAGGACTTGTTTGAGAGGATAAGATGAAAATTGCAATAGACGCATTATAAATAAGCGCAAAAATTATATAATAATTCAACAGTGGCAGATCCAGGAATTCGAAAGAGAGGTGAACCAGGGAGGGACTTTCACAGACTGAGGAGCCACCCACCTCAGCCCCACCATGGTTGGGGCTGAGGTAAGAAAATTTATGATTAGGGCATCTGTATATATGGCCGAAAATTACACTCTCGCACTTTGAACACAATTTGAATATATTTTTCTTTTTTTTCCCCTTAATGAAGGGGGAGGGGGGCCTTGAATCCTCTTCTGCTCAAAACATTCTTTATCCAGAATAGTCATAATCACGAAAATGGACATGAAAAACCAGATCACATCCTAAAAACAAACAGCAGTCACTGAGACATACATCAGGAGCCGACTCGATGGAGTTTAATGTCATACCCAGGGAAGGGCACAGATCTGTTTTGAAAGGTGGAGGGGGAGGGAATTTTGTGAGTCGACAGCCACCTCAGCCCCGCCATGGTTGGAGCTGAGGTGAGAAAATTTGAGGAAATAGTACCTCTAGATGGCCAGAAATAACACTTTTAGTAAAGTTCATCATCATCACATCACCATTAGTCAAAATGAAGCGCCAAAAAATTTCTCATGATCTTTTATCAGGGATTTTTGACAACCATAGAGATCTTATTAATGTGTGTGATATACCATAGAAAAAAAACATAGAAAAAAAAGCTTAAAAACATTGTCTTTGAGTGTACTTTACATAGGGCTACTTCAAAAACGTGATTTCACAACCACCTCAGCCCCACCATGCAGTGGCAGCTCTAGGATATATTTTCTGGGGGGTGGGGGGCTAAGTTGTCGGACAGGGGGACTTGAGCTCGTAGGCTCGAGCTGGGAGAAGGGGTTGAGAGGGTGGTTCCCCCTCCCAAATTAGATTTTCTTAAAGAATATCAACTTCTAGATGGCCGAAAATGGCACTCTCATACTGTGACAGACATGTGTTGGTTTGGTGTGGGCCAATTTTTAAATGTTTTATGGTCTGAATGTCCGACGAGCTCTGTCCGGCGGGGGGGGGGGGTTTGACCTGTCCGGTGGGGCTTAAGCCCCCCTCCCCGCTACCCCGCTGGCGTCGCCAATGCCACATGGCTGGGGCTGAGCTGAGAAAATTTGAGGAAGTAGTACCTCTCGAGATGGCCGGAAATGACACTTTTATATAGTAAAATTCATCATCATCACATTACCATTATAGTCAAAATGAAACGCCAACAAATTTCTTATGATCTTTAATCAGGGATATACTTAATATCCAGGACAACTTAGGCTTAATTATAGCTTACTAAGCTTTAACTATATACCGTATACTATATTATGATCAACAAATCACATCTTTTTTTTGTATTTAGCACAATTTTCTTCACTTTTTATTGTTATTAATATTAATATCAATTATTACTATCGTCATCATCATCATTGTTATTATTATTATTACTATTACTAGTAGTATAAGTATTTAAAGAAACTTGCAAAAGATAAAAACGAAATTGAACTACAGTATCGCATTTCTATCTTAAAAGACCTGGCCTGAGATTTATGGATTTTTAAACGTTGGTGGCGCTGAGGTAACTAATAGCGACATAAACAAACGTCAGTGATTGAACAGCAGAGGGTCTTCATTTTGTTGTTTTTATGAGTTGCTGTACCAGACCTAGCCTAGAAGCATAGTCTACCCTAGGCTAGCTTAGTAGTTAAATACAGTTTACTTGGTAAGTTTAGTCCTACCACTGTTTATGGTAGGCAGCCTTGGCAAACTTCGTGAAGGCTTATTATTTATAATTCTAGCCTAGCCCTAGGCTAGGCCTACTACTTACTAGGCCTAGGCCTACTAGCTAGCCTCTAGGCCTAGGCCCTAGGCTCTAGCTAGCCCCAACTTGTAGGCTAGGTCTATGCCTAGACCCTGGGGGAGGGGGTTCTTTGCTTAGGGAGGCGGCTAGGCCTAGGCTAGCTAACTAAACCTAGGACTGTCCTCAGTCAGGCTCTCCTTACTTGATACTATGTTTATAATAGATATGTTACTTTACTTCTTAGCATTTTTTTGTGAAACTCATACTTACGTAGTACAGTAGGCCTACGTAACCGTCCTACGTTCATGCACAACGTCGATTTGGTAAAATTGCATCCTAGAATTCAGACAAGGAGGACAACTTAATGTTCTCGCATGCACAGATGAAATGGCTGATTTTGATATAGAAAGATTTATATGGGCAATTCCATGGTTAGTTGCATTACATTAGTAAAATAATAATACAAAATCCCTTGTCTTGTTGTATGTTGTAAACTAAATTTAGACATTCCTAAACGTGAAAAAAAAAAATTGCAAAAAAAGACTCAAATTTTAATTTTGTGTTCCATACAAAAAGCAACACAGATGAATTTTCTACATTTGATTTTGCAATTGGTCTAGTCTGATATTGGTGAAAGAATATAGTAGGCCGGAAACATAAGCCTAGCAATTTAAATTATGTGCAATTAAATATCTGTATTTTAGATGTCGACTTTATTAATTGTATCATATTTTTATGTCAATTCTTAAATTTTAAATATTTGTCAATTCTCAAATTAAAAATTATAATGATTCTATTCGTAATTTTTTAATATGCAATTTTCGACCCCATTAAAAATGTGCTGGAATCAAGACTAATGGGCATTCCTGATGCACATTAATTAACTTTACTTGTTCGTTAAAATATTTTTTTATATTGTTTGTGCAGGGAGATGTAAAAAATATTTTTTACATGTCCCTGGTTTGTGCATGTTGAGCATCAAATAAATTCCATCAATCAATTAATTATGAAAAGAAGTAGTGTAGTCCAAATAGAGGAATGAGTTAGGGAGTTCCTTGGAGTTGCTGGCACTGATGATTTCTATTTTGTGATATATTCCACAGAATGATGAGTTCCAACAAAAAACATAAAAAGAAAAAGCACAGGTCAAGCAGAGTTTCTCCAGCTGCTTATCAGGGGCCTACAGTGGATTCAGTTCATTTTGAATTAAGTGGAACT